GATGAAGCTGGAAACCATCATTATTAGCAAACTATCAAAAGGACAAAAAAACAAACACTGAATGTTCTCACTCATAGGTGGGAATTGAACAATGAGAACACTTGGACACAGTAAGGGGAACATCACAGACCAGGGCCTGTTGTGGGGTGCGGGGAGGGTGGAGGGATAGCATTAGGAAATATACCTAATGTAAATGATGAGTTAACTGGTGCAGCACACCAACATGACACATGTATACATATGTAACAAACCTGCACGTTGTGCACATGTACCCTAGAACTTAAAGTACAATAAAAAAAAATATTAGGCCGGTATGGTGATGCACACTTCTAGTTCCAGCTCCTCCGGGGACTGAGGTGTGAGGATCACTTGAGACCAAGAGGTTGAGGTTGCACTGAGCTATGATCACACCACTACACTCCAGTCTATGACAGAATGAGACCCTGTCTCAAATGTAAATAGTTAGAGATTGTAAGCCTTGATAAAAAGAACTAGAACAAATTATATGCTTTTTAAAAGAATCACAGTTTAAAAGTAAATGAGTTAAAAGTAAAGGATGTTAAAAGTAAGTTAAAACTAAAGTGTTAAAAAATATACCCTGCAAATACGAATCACAGAGAAACTGGAGGTGCTCCATTAATACTTCATAAAGCATACTATATAGTGGAGATTATTCCAAAGGACAAAGTGGGAGGACCTCTTCAGGGAGAACTACAAACCACTGCTCAACAAAATAAAAGAGGACACAAACAATGGAAGAACATACCATGCTCATGGATAGGAAGAATCAATATTGTGAAAATGGCCATACTGCCCAAGGTAATTTATAGATTCAATGCCATCCCCATTCAGCTACCAATCACTTTCTTCACAGAATTGGAAAAAATTGCTTTAAAGTTCATATGGAATCAAAAAAGAGCCCACATTGCCAAGACAATCCTAAGCCAAAAGAACAAAGCTGGAGGCATCACGCTACCTGACTTCAAACTATACTACAAGGCTACAGTAACCAAAACAGCATGGTACTGGTACCAAAACAGAGATATAGACCAATGGAACAGAACAGAGTTCTCAGAAGTAATACCACACATCTACAGCCATCTGATCTTTGACAAACCTGAGAGAAATAAGAAATAGGGAAAGGATTCCCTATTTAATAAATGGTACTGGGAAAATTGGCTAGCTGTAAGTAGAAAGCTGAAGCTGGATCCTTTCCTTACTCCATAAATGAAAATTAATTCAAGATGGATAAGAGACTTAAATGTTAGACCTAAAACCATAAAAACCCTAGAAGAAAACCTAGGTAATACCATTCAGGACCTAGGCATTGGCAAGGACTTCATGTCTAAAACACCAAAAGCAATGGCAACAGAAGCCAAAATTGACAAATGGGATCTAATTAAACTAAAGAGCTTCTGCACAGCAAAAGAAACTACCATCAGAGTGAACAGGCAACCTACAGAATGGGAGAAAATTTCTGCGATCTACTCATCTGACAAAGGGCTAATATCCAGAACCTATAAAGAACTCAATCAAGTTTACAAGAAAAAAGCAAACAACCCCATCAAAAAGAGGGCAAAGGATATGAACAGACACTTCTCAAAAGAAGACATTCATACAGCCAACAGACACATGAAAAAATGCTCATCATCACTGGCCATTAGAGAAATGCAAATCAAACCACAATGAGATACCATCTCACACCAGTTAGAATGGCGATCATTAAAAAATCAGGAAACAACAGGTGCTGGAGAGGATGTGGAGAAATAGGAACACTTTTACACTGTTGGTAGGACTGTAAACTAGTTCAACCATTATGGAAAACAGTGTGACGATTCCTCAAGGATCTAGAACTAGAAATACCATTTGACCCAGCCATCCCATTACTGGGTATATACCCAAAGGATTATAAGTCATGCTGCTATAAAGACACATGCACACATATGTTCACTGGGGCACTATTCACAATAGCAAAGACTTGCAATCAACCCAAATGTCCATCAGTGACAGACTGGATTAAGAAAATGTGGCACATATACACCGTGGAATACTATGCAGCCATAAAAAAGGATGAGTTCGTGTCCTTTGTAGGGACATGGATGCAGCTGGAAACCATCATTCTCAGCAAACTATCACAAGAACAGAAAACCAAATACCGCATGTTCTCACTCATAGGTGGGAATTGAACATTGAGATCACTTGGACACAGGAAGGGGATCATCACACACCGGGTCCTATTGTGGGGAGTTGGTGGGGGAGGGATAGCATTAGGAGATATACCTAATGTAAATGACGAGTTAACCAACAAGGCACATGTATACATATGTAACAAACCTGCACATTGTGCACATGTACCCTAGAACTTAAAGTATAATAATTAAAAAAAGGAGTGCAGCTGTGGCCAGGCATGTTCCTCACACCTGTAATCCCAGCACTTTGGGAGGTCGAGGTGGGTGGATCACTTGAGGTCAGGATTTCGAGACCAGTCTTGCCCACATGGTGAAACCCCGTCTCTACTAAAAATACAAAAATTTGCCAGGCATAGTGGCACATGCCTCTAATCCCAGCTACTTGCGAAGCTGAAGCAGGAGAATCAGTTTAACCTGAGAGGCAAATATTGCAATGAGCCAATGATTGCGCCACTGCACTCCAGTCTGGGTAACAGAGCGAGACTCCGCCTCAAAAGAAAAAAAAAAAGATGCTCAACTAGATAGAATATATAGATATTAGTTCAACAATATATCCTAATATATTTATAAAAGGCTGCATTCTGATCAGGGCCACCTTCCTGTCCTTCCCTTCCATATACTATTTCCCACATCAAACTGCTAGGTAATATAAAAGTAGTAAGAACAGGAGGCATGGACATAGTTTACTGTCTACATTAACAAGAGTTTATATTCCACTGGCTTCATTATCATAATTTTGCTAATACAAGAATCTCTTACCTAGGAAAATAAAAGTTTCAAAAAAATGTTATTGTTCTTTCCAGCAATTGCCTGAAAGACCCATCAGCTCCTCAATAAAAGGTGTCAAATGACATTTTTCAATCCCAAAACTCTTTGAACCCCTTGCCTAAAAAGTCTTGTCTTGTTGCGTCCACCAATCCTAAATCATTATCATTCCTACCCAATTCTAACCAAACCATCCCCCACTTTAAAACACCCACTTTATTTCGGACATGAAAAGCAGAACAAATATACCTAAAGCCCTTTCACATCTGACATACTAGTGCCTCTGTGGAGGTAGTGCTCTACCTTATAGCTTTATGCAAATAATGTCAGCGCTGTCTTATGAACAGGTTATTTGGCTGATATTTGGGGAGTAGAGTATATGATGAGCATAGTCACCACTGCTGTACATCATGTCACAATAGGACTAAGTCTAAATCCAATGTTGTATTAGTCCGTTCTCATGCGGCTATATGGACATACATGAGAGTGTGTAATTTATAAAGGAAAGAGGTTTAATTGACTCATAGCTCTGCAGGGCTGGGGAGACCTCTGGAAACAACAATCATGGAAGAAGTGGAAGCAAACACATCCTTCTTCACATGGCAGCAGGAGAGAGAAGAATAAGCAAAAGGGGAAAAGCCTCTTATGAAACCATTAGATCTTGTGAGAACTTACTCACTATCAGGGCAACAGCATGAAGGTAACCACCCTCATGATTACATTACCTCTCACAGGGTCCTTTCCATGACACATGGGGATTATGGGAACTACAATTCAAGGAGAGATTTGGGTGGGGACAGAGTCAAATCATATCATATGTATGCATATTTCTGAACCATACACTGTCTGAATGACCTACAGGTGTATTCAGGGAAATCAGTTATCAGTCCAGAGATTAAAATGTGCAATAGTACAACCTAAAAAAGGAAGAGGTGTGAATGTATTTAGTCCACAGAAGTGGTTCAATTCGTTGGTAGCATGCAGAAAACCTCAGGCCAGAGAAGGAAGTGATTAATCAAAACACGAATAAAAATTGGCCAAGATGGGAGGATCCCTTGAGCCCAGAAATTGAGACCAGCCAGGACAACATAGTCAGATTCTGTCTCTAAGTAAATAAATAAATAAAATAGTTGGGCATGGTGGCACACACCTGTAGTCCCAACTACTTGGGAGGCTGCGTCTTGAGTATTGCTTATGCCCAAGAGATCCAGGCTGCAGTGAGGTAAAGTCATGCCATTGCCCACCAGCCAGGGTGACAAAGTAACACCCTGTCTGGAAAAAAAAGCATGTATAAATATAGGCATTAAAATAATTTATTTCAGTCAGAAAAGGTCTTTCTGAGACACATCAACCACTAAGGGTGACATGGGACTCTCTGTTCCCAAAGTTTCTGGATGCATGAGAATGGTAGGGCAAGAGAGAGAGAAAAAAAAAATCTCTTAAGTCCCTTTCTTTCTACTACAAACATACTGGGGATTCTGATCTGGTGACAGTGGGAAAACCCTGGCTGGCCTTGCATGTGCCTGACTCAGTGTGAACGCCCCTTGCTGCCCAAGTCCCTTGTTGCCCATGCGCCTTACTGTCTGCCTTCTGTCCCTGCAGAGCTGTGCAAGGAGACATCGTGACTTCCTTCTGTCTTGCCGACTGGGAGTCAGCCAGTAGGTCTGCAGGTCAGTAGTCCTAGAAGTTTGAGTGTGAGTGTGAGGAGGAGCCTGCGGGCACGGTCCATGGCCTCCTAGGTGGAAAGGCTTTGAGGTCCCCGTCCTTCTAACACGCAGCGATGCAGCCATGGCCTTGCTGTGATGGGGATGCCGAACAAGGGAGGAAGAAAGACCATAGAGGGGAGGAGGGTCAGGTAAACAAGCAGTGAGTTTTGAAGGGGGAAACTATCTGTGGTATTTGAGTCCCCGAGGCATATGAAACTGCTTACAGACTATGCATTCCAAAGTCCTCAGTGGGAACCAGGGAGGGGAGGGAGGACTGCGTGACGCGGGATGGGGTGGAGCAAGGCGGGGCACTGCAACCCACAAGGCAGGCACCGACTTCAGTGTGCATGCTCCTTGGACACCTGCCTCAGTGCACATGTTCACTGGGCATCTTTCCTTCGACCCCTTTGCCCATGTGGTGACCGCTGGGGAACTGTGAGAGTGTGAGGGTCGCGTTCCAGCTGTCTGGACTCTTTCTTTCCTACTGAGACGCAGCCTGTAGGTCCGCAGGCCAGTCCTCCCAGGAAGTGAAATGTGAGTGAATGTGAGGAGGAGCGAGCCGGCTTCCAGAGGGTCAGGCGGCATGATCTGTGGTGTCAGAGGTGAAGAGCCTCTAGGTCATAAGAAAAGTGGGCCGCCGAGTGAAGGGGAGCCAGATGAAGATGGGGTGAATGCTGGGGGTGCTGTTGGAGGTATCTGAGTCCCGGAAGTGCCTGGAACTTCCAATGGAACAGATTCCAGACTTCTTGGTGGGGACCCAGGAATGGGCTGTGTGGGCGGTAAGAAAGGGGCCTGGGAAGTGGGAATGCTATGAGTTGATGACCACGACCCTGAGGTCTGTAGAGCTCCCAGTAGAAGTGTCCAGTGAGGAGCATCCAGCGATGTGTTGCAACTTCTCAACTCCACGCTGGAGGTTCGAATGGGCGGGACTGTGCTTTCCAACAAAACTTTGATTTTAGGGAGGGAAATTGTCCAAACAAATGGGTGTGTGACGAAAGCTGTGGTCACTGTAGTTTTAATTCTCTAGCTGTATAAACTTAAATGTCTCCACTATGGAGAATCCAGCTGTGAAACCAAATCTCATCGGAAATATCCTGTATCTTTTGCCACGAACATTAAAGCATTGCTTTGCTAGATTGCCCAACTTAAGTGGCTTTACAAGCATTCGATTCAGAAGATGTACACACTTCTAGTTGCCCTGGGACTTACTTTCAAATTATTTCCAAACTTTTTTAAAAACTGAAATTTAACATTTGGCCATGAAAGTGGTCAAATATAGCTATCCTCTCAAACACACTTTCCCAATCACAGTATTCTGTTTGCAGAGTGAAATATGAGTTGGCGAGGAAGATCAACATATAGGCCTAGGCCAAGAAGAAGTTTACAGCCTCCTGAGCGGATTGGGGCTATGCTTGTGAGTGCTTTATTATTTTGATGTTTTTTATTAGCAGAAATTTATTTTGTGATAGTGTTGTTGAACTAGTATAGATACACTGATAAAGGTCTTCCATGTTGATAAAAATGATCATGGCATCTCATGAAGGAAAGACTAATCCAAGAGTATTACAATCTGGTTTTGCCTGCATGGATAATCTTGTGTTCCCCACCATGACTTCCTCCTCATGCTTACTGATAACATATTGCACACATCCATCCCAACATAGATTAAAATGGCTTCAAAAGCCTTTTAGGGTAACTGTCTTAGAGTAACCTCTCTTTGGGAAGAGTAACTTTGTGAAGAATAAGTATATGGAATAGTATTGGAGAAGTGTCTTTAGACTTACTTATGATTAGAAATACTTGTGTATTCTGCATATTTGTATTATGGACATGTATTAATAACAAAACTTTTTATCTGCACACACACCACACCACCTCCCCTTTGTCCCAGGAACCCAGTGATGAAAAGCCTAAAGAAGAGAAGCCACCCACTGAAAGTTGGGATCCTACAGCTGATCAGAAGAGAGAAGATGATCAGGTTGCAGCTGAGATTCAAGGTGATGGGAAAGGAAAGAAATAATGTCTATGGGGGGAAGGAGGACTATGTGTGCATCATGCCTTATGCCATGACCAGTAATAGGAGGAAAGAAAACGTTAGGGAAGGATCTCAAACATTTGCTCAAAGTACGCTGGAAAAGTGAAGAGTATACTTTACAACTTCATGCAGTCCCTGGATATAATAAATTTTCTATTTTTTTCAAGATTTGTTGTGTATGCTTGAAAATACATCCCTTGCTAAATCAGATGAAACTGTTTAATTTGATGTATCAAAATATACATTATTTCACTTGATTAATTTGATCTTCTTAGAATGTTGCTGCATGATTGGCTCAGCCATGGTGTCCACAGTGCTGTAAGCACCCTTTTATAGCATATAGAGTGCCAAGTCACCCTACCTTATAACACCCTGAATAAAGCCCATTTGCATAGGGATATTAGCCCCATTTTAGATTGAGGCTTACCAGGAAGCTTGAGTCATGGAGACAGAATTCATATTACATTCCGAGGTCTCTGTTCTTCCTACCATCTACGTTGTTACAAAACGTGAATTATTTTGCTTAAAATGCGTAATGCTCGAATGTGTCTGTACTGTAAGGTACTTCGGTATTGGCTCAGGAGAAAACACAATTCAGTGAAGCAGGATAGCAACTCCAGAAAAGGGCTCAATAAATGACAGCCACTGTTCCCTTTGATCAATATTTTTGACAATATGTTTGGTAAAAGGATATGTTGGATAATTCAGGACACTGGCATACAGGTAGGTATATTAGTATGTTTTTAAAGGAACTTTTAAAAGTTGCCTAAATAATTTTATAATTATAAAACTCAAAGTATGATAAAATTATCGTGGAACAGAAATTGTGTCCTCAGCAGATAGCATTTTCAAGCTAAAGTTGACAGAATTTGGGCCATGGAGTATTTTAGCAATTCATGGTTAAGTGGTTTCCAGAATATGACTGTCAACAATACTCATTACTTTCTGTCACTCAATTTCCTGAACTTTCATTGGAAGACTGTGATTTTCCTCTTATTTTTGGTACTATATTCTCAATGGGATTTATTTATGAAAGGCTACATGTAGGGCCTTTGGACCTAAGCATAATTTTAATTAATTTTAGCCAAATAATTTTCAAATTTCCTCAACAAGATATGGTTGTCACAATTGTAAGTTTTTGTCATAAGCCCAGGAATACATTCACCTGGTCTTTCAGAAAATTACCTTTGAGTTATTATTAAAATGCTATTCATGCAGCAAACTTCAGATATCTTACACAGTTGATACTTGCTGTTTATAATGCACACTGGCAAAGTATAGGAAATGAGGGCATAGTGTGATTTATCCTTAGATTGTTATTTTAAATTAGATTTCAGGCCAGGTACATTGGCTTACACCTGCAATCCCAGCACTTTGGAAGGCCGAGGCTGGTGGGTCCCTTGAGCCTGAGAGTTAGGAGCTAGCCTGGGCAACATGGGGAAACATCAAAAAATTTTCTCTGCCAAGAAAATACAAAAATTAGCCTTGGTGGTGGCATGTGCCTGTAATCTCGGCAACTCACAAGGCTGAGACAGGGGGATCGCTTGAGCTCAGGAGGTCAGGGCTGCAGTCACCTGAGACTGTGCCCCTGTACTCCAGCCTGGATGACAGAGTGAAATCCTGTATTAAAAAACAAATAAAATAGGAATTCATAACACAGGAAAACAAAGGTGTGACATCTTTGCATCACATTTATTATCACACTAACCTACAGGCTTTTATGTCATTACTCTGTGGAATAGAATATTATTATTTCCTTATTTATACTTCATGTTTTTCTACTCAAGTTCATAACCTTTGTATTTTTTAGTGCCTGACCTGGAAGCTGATCTCCAGGAGCTGTGTCAGTCAAAGACTGGGGATGAATGTGAAGATGGTACTGATGTCAAGGGGAAGATTCTACCAAAGCAGAGCACTTTAAAATGCCAGAAGCAAGTGTGTTATTCATTAAGACACAAAGTTATGTGATTTCTATTTTTTACATGTTATACTTTTGATCAGACAGAGATAACATTACTTCCACTTTAATAACAGTGTTCAAGTACACACTTTCTTTGAAAGGTATTTCAGATCCCAAATGCCTGACTGCAAGATTTAAACGCTCTCAGATACAGACACAAATTGGGTCAAAGTCATATTGAATCATCAAATATGACAGCATTTTCTTACTTCTGAGTATAACCAACAGCTAACAATTTTCAGATTCTTTTCTAATTTCTGCTTTTAACAAATACATAATGCATTTGTAATACCACACTGTGTGAAATATGCTGAGCCCTGAAGGAGATTCTAGTGGCAGCTCTATGACAATTTGTGAGAATCTGGACAAATTCCATAAATTCTACACCCATCTTTGCTGTTATTGAAAATGGTGAATGCAGATCAAATGTATTAAAATCCGTTTCAATGCTGATTTCTGCATGCTCTGGTTCTGTTGGAGAGAATAGAAAGATATTCCAATTTCCATGATTTGTTTTTCCTAACAATCGGCTTCAGTCCAATTACAATATCTGAGCTGAGATTTCATTGCTCTTAAGAAAGTGAGCAGGCACCCTGCTTGATGTTTGTTTTTCAGTATGGAGACCTGAATGAGTGTTCTTGAATTTTGTCAAATTCTGAATTATCTGGCTCTTAAATAATAATTGCATTTTAAAGCCTTCCCACCGTGAAGCCCTGAATGACTGAATAATAAAATGGAAAGAGACAGTCTACTTTCTGTGGCCGATGAAGTAGGGAGAATGCATGTAGGTCAGTGATGTTCAAGGTGGGTGTAAGATGCCTGTGCTAAGCATGCTTTTTGCTCTCCTGTCAGTCTTCATGAGCTACTGTGTGTAATAAAGACACATATGATTTAATCACCTCTAACCATATCATAGGTTATATATTACAGGTTTCTGCCTTGAGACATCAGATGATAGGACTCAAAGTTCAAATGTACTAATTCCTGAGTAGTCAACATAAGTATCTTTTACACATATTTTTTATAAATTGCTGACTGTTAATTAGAAGAGCTTCTGAACTTAAAGGAAGAACTCCATGTTTAGGGAAGAAATTACCTAAATGTTTTACTCTGCCCTGCTGAACAATTCCATTAAACTATTTAAATTAAAAGACAGTTTTCAGGAACCTATTGAACAAGCCTCAGTTGTATTCTTAGGAAGATCATAGCCTTAACTGCACATCTTATTCGAATAGATAGCAAATTACATGATAAAATAATAATCAATATAATAATAAAAGAGCAACAGAATAAATCTAATGGAAAAGGAAAGAGGTACTTAATAACAGACAGGTACGAATCTGGAGTTTGGATTAGGAAAACTAATCCAAAAGTAATACATTTAACACATTGTTTATTTTAAAAATAGCTATGAATAGACTACCTGTTTGTTTCCCCAGTCTTGAAGAAAATGGGAAAAGCACAATACAGAATACGAAGAAGACACAGATATTGAATATATAGTATAACTGAAAGTAAATACATTCTTTTGTTTTGTTTTGCTTTTGAGATAGAGTCTCGCTCTCTCACCCAGGCTGGAGTGCGGCGGCGCGATCTTGGCTGACTGCAACCTCCACTTCCAGGGTTCAAGTGATTCTCTTGCCTCAGCCTCCTGAGTAGCTGGGAGTACAGGCACGCCCCACCATGCCTGGCTATTTTTTGTATTTTTAGTAGAGACGAGGTTTCGCCATGTTGGACAAGCTGTTCTTTAACTCCTGACCTCAGGTGATCCACTTGCCTTGGCCTCCCAAAGTGCTGGGATTACAGATGTGAGCCACCACGCCCAGCTGAAAGTGAATACATTCTTAAATTCTAATATTTTCAGAATGTAGGTGAAATGGTTGACAAGCTAGGAATGCATACATTATTAAATATATCCCAGTAGTACCTGAATATCTATTCATCACAAAGACTGTGCATGAACTTGTGAAATTTGCCAGTTGTCCCTTGATAACATTTACTTTTAAACACAAATATTTAGTTATTCTAGATGTCTTCCTCTATGTCTCCATTTCCCTCTTCATTATTTTTTCGTGCCATACTGTTCATGATATATACCTCTTTCATATTTTGATATCAATAATGATAATGATAGATTAAAACTAATGTGATCATATAATTAATTATACAAAGGGGAATTTTTCAAGTGTAAAAAGAGATATTTGTATTAACATCAGGACTATAGGTGAAAACTGGGGACAGATGTTTGCCACACCTTAATATCTACAGAAGGGTAAACTAACCCAAAGCAACATTTTTGCACTTTTGCACAATATCGAAAAAAACAAATGAGATACTGTCCTTTCTATTCACCACTCATATGCAGCTCTTAATGTGACATTAACTCTTTTCTTAAAAGATAGTTTTCATACTATTTCCAGGAGCCTATTAGACATCCAGACCATAGTTTCAAGCCAAAATATTAAATTATACATTTTTATAAATTCCTTTGTTTCTTAGTTTTTCTGTGTGTGTTGGTTATATTTTTAGTAAAATTATGCACAGTTTTTGCTTTCTACATTAAATCCCTTTTTAAGAGGTCCACTTGATTTAATGTGTTCTGACCTTGGACTGTCTTTTGGTTTTCTTGTAGCACTAGAAAGCAGGGTGTGTGTCAAACAAATGGAAGAACATACCATGCTCATGGATAGGAAGAATCAATATTGTGAAAATGGCCATACTGCCCAAGGTAATTTATAGATTCAATGCCATCCCCATTTAGCTACCAATCACTTTCTTCACAGAATTGGAAAAAACTGCTTTAAAGTTCATATGGAATCAAAAAGAGACCCCGCATTGCCAAGACAATCCGAAGCCAAAAGAACAAAGCTGGAGGCATCATGCTACCTGACTTCAAACTATACTCCAAGTCTACAGTAACCAAAACAGCATGGTACTGGTACCAAAACAGAGATATAGACCAATGGAACAGAACAGAGCCCTCAGAAATAATACCACACATCTACAACCATCTGATCTTTGACAAACCTGACAAAAACAAGAAATGGGGAAAGGATTCCCTATTTAATAAATGGTGCTGGGAAAATTGGCTAGCCGTGAGTAGAAAGCTGAAGCTGGATCCTTTCCTTACTCCTTAAACGAAAATTAATTCAAGATGGATTAGAGACTTAAATGTTAGACCTAAAACCATAAAAACCCTAGAAGAAAACCTAGGTAATACCATTCAGGACATAGGCATGGGCAAGGACTTCATGTCTAAAACACCAAAAGCAACGGCAACAAAAACCAAAATTGACAAATGGGATCTAATTAAACTAAAGAGCTTCTGCACAGCAAAAGAAACTACCATCAGAGTGAACAGGCAACCTACAGAATGGGAGAAAATTTTTGCTATCTACTCATCTGACAAAGGGCTAATAATAGGGCCAGAACCTACAAAGAACTCAAACAAATTTACAAGAAAAAAGCAAACAGTCCCATCAAAAAGTGGGCAAAGGATATAAACAGACACTTCTCAAAAGAAGACATTCATACAGCCAACAGATACATGAAGCAATGCTGATCATCACTCACCATCAGAGAAATGCAAATCAAACCACAATGAGATACCATCTCACACCAGTTAGAATGGCGATCATCAAAAAATCAGGAAACAACAGGTGCTGGAGAGGATGTGGAGAAATAGGAACACTTTTACACTGTTGGTGGGACTGTAAACTAGGTCAACCATTGTGGAAGACAGTGTGGCGATTCCTCAAGGATCTAGAACTAGAAATACCATTTGACCCAGCCATCCCATTACTGGGGATATACCCAAAGGATTATAAGTCATGCTGCTATAAAGACACATGCACACATATGTTCACTGGGGCACTATTCACAATAGCAAAGACTTGGAATCAACCCAGATGTCCATCAGTGACAGACTGGATTAAGAAAATGTGGCACATATACACCATGGAATACTGTGCAGCCATAAAAAAGGATGAGTTTGTGTCCTTTGTAGGGACATGGATGCAGCTGGAAACCATCATTCTCAGCAAACTGTCACAAGAACAGTAAACCAAACACGGCATGTTCTCACTCATAGGTGGGAATTGAACAATGAGATCACTTGGACACGGGAAGGGGAACATCACACACCGGGGCCTATTGTGGGGAGGGGACGGGGAGAGGAATAGCATTAGGAGATATATCTAATGTAAATGACGAGTTAATGGGTACAGCACACCAACATGGCACATGTATATATATGTAACAAAACTGCACGTTGTGCACAGGTACCCTAGAACTTAAAGTATAATAATAAACCTAAAAAAAACCCCAAAACATTTAATGAACAAAACAAAAAGCAGGGTGTGTTTAAAAAATATTAATGATGTATATGTTTGGAAGTTTATCTCCAAAGTCTCCACAGAGGTCTACCTGAATGTAAGCCAGAGGATGACTCTTGGGCTAATGGTCTTAGTCCACTGTAAGAAACAAAAACTTTGGTGTCATTTGCATATCTTAATGTGATCTAAATAGAGTTCCGCTAGCAATGTTCCACCTCTTATGTTTCTATTACAGGTGAAGGGAAATCACAGGTTTAAAGGAAGATAAGCTGAAACAACACAAACTGTTTTTATATTAGATATTTTACTTTAAAATATCTTATTAAAGTTTTAAGCTTTTCTCCAAAGAAGTCTTGCACATCTTCTGTTAATTTCTCTCTCTCTCTTTCTTTCTTTCTTTCTTTCTTTCTTTCTTTCTTTCTTTCTTTCTTTCTTTCCTTCTTTCTTTCTTTCTTTTCTTTCTTAGATGGAATTTTGCTCTGTCACCACACTGGATTGCAGTGGCATGATCTTGGCTCACTGCAACCTCCGCCTCCTGGGTTCGAGCAATTCTCCTGCCTCAGCCTCCTGAGTAGCTGAGACTACAGGCGCATGCCACCACACATGGCTAATTTTTGCATTTTTAGTAGAGACGGAGTTTCACCATGTTGGCCAGGATGGTCTCAATCTCCTGACCTCGTGATCTGCCTGCCTTGGCCTCTCAAAGTGCTGGGATTACAGGCATAAGCCACTATGCCCAGCCTCTTCTGTTAATTTCATTCCCAGGTATTTTGATACTATTGAAAATTGTGGCCAGGTGCAATGACTCACACCTGTAATCCCAGTACATTGGGATGCTGAGGTAGGAGGATTGCTAGAGCTCAGGAAAGTGATATCAGTCCGGGGAACATAGGAACCCCTCTCTACTACAATGAATGAATGAATGAATGAATGAATGAATGAATGAATGAATGAATGAAACTATAGTTCCTGCTACTCTGGAGGCATAGGTGGGAGGATCCTTTGAGCCCAGGTGGTTGAGGATGCTGGTAGTCATGTTCATGCCACTGCAACTCCAACCTCCATGACAGAGCAAGACTCTGTTTCAAAAAAAAGTATCATTTTTGATATTCTATATTCTGAGTTAGCTGATACACAAGTGAGGTATGGTGAAATATATATTTGGTCCTCGACTGTGCTTACTGGCATACAACTCCTACAAAGTGATGTCTTTTTGTATGTTAGTGAGTTGGCTGATGACTGGCAGCCTCTAGGAGCTCTAGGATGGGGAATTAGAGGGTTGGGACTTTCAACCCTATGCCCAAACTTCAGGGAAGGTTGGGGCTGAAGGTTAAGTTGTTCACCAATGGCAAGCCGACAGTTTAATCAGTCATGCCTACATAATGAAAACCTCCATGAAACCCAAAAGGACACGGTTCAGAGAGCTTCTGGCTAGCTGAACACAAAGAGGGTAGCATGCCCATAGAGGCCATGGAAACTCCCTGCCCCTTCCTACATACCTCACCCTATGTGTCCCCTCATCTGCATCTTTTCTAAGGGTGTTCCACTTGCCACAAAATATGTGAGAAGTCCCTAGGCTATAGAGCTGGATGAAAGAATTAGGGCCTCGGCAGAAGAAAGGGAAAAGCAACCAGGGCAACTTGCTGAAGCAAAATGACTTGGGTCCTACCTACACTGTCTCCTTACAGGCTATGGCATGAAATACCCATGGGATTTCATCCTGCCTCTTACACACTGGCCTTGAGAGGGTGGGCAAGATATTATAATCTGTGGGGCAGTGTCCCCATTTCTAAAGTAGAAATTAGAATATTTACACTAAATACTTGTTATGAAGAATAAATGAAATAACATATGGATTAGGCCATATGTATTTATTATTGTAGATAAATGTGGTTTGTTATATTTCTTTTCTTATTTTAAAATTTCATTTTTTTTCATTCCCTTTGCCTTTACAATCACATGTTTAGTAATAACTGTTTTTAAATTTCAAGTAGAGGTATCAAGTTACCTTTTTAAATGAATTTGACTTCTGAGACTTACTTAATTTAAATAAATGTGTTAATTAAAAACCGGGGCAGCTGGTGTCAGACATGACATCAATTCTAAAGTTGGTTTGTAAATAAACGCAGTCTGACAAGGCCAACCCTAAGTCAATAGAATGTGCCGAACACTGCGCTTTGCTGTGTGTGATGCCATGAAGAATAAGTCCTTCTGGTCAGCCAATACTACACAACACAATAGTGTGTCAAGTGTTCAAGCAGTCCCTAAGCAGCCCTGTGGTGGCTAACAGGGTCGCAAGGATCACCACTGCAGTTGTTAGTTTGGCTTGTCACACATCCGTAGATTTGGCCAATAAGGAGAAAATGAGCCTAAATGGATCCAAATGGTTGGTTGATTGCAGACAAAGTAAAAGCAAGGTCAGCATTGTGTCAGCACTGTGTCCCTAGTCCGACAGTATGACACTGAATCGGAGGTATACAATGACAGCACAGATGGGTCTCTCTGCCTGTGAGGAGCCCACAGCTGTACCCCAAGGCAGTGAGCAATTTTATACTCCACAGTTGTACCCTAAGATGAGGAAAGGCCCGTATTTAACGGAAACTAGGGAAATGGATAAAGAATGGTCTTGTGTCAACATCCAACCAGATAGGGAGCTGGTGAGAAAATACCTGTGGCAGCTCCTACCACACTTCCTGTCTCTCCTTGCAACAAAAGGAATCCAGATATTCTTCCAACACTCAGGTTAGCCTGCAGTCTGGCTTTGCCTACATGTCCTATGTGGTGACCTGCAAGATCTCCAAGACACCATGGCAGAGCCTTTGCCCTATAGTGTCTGACACAAAACCATATGTAAGGTGCCTAGAAACATACCATATCCAATAATGACTCCTAAATAGAGGGGATGCTTTTCTGTTAGGGTCATTACAAAAGACTGATAATTTAATTCAATGGATATGCATTGATAACTGCCATGCTATAGGAAATGTCTTGGATGCTGGAAATGAGAAGACCAACCAACAACATGTGGTACTTGCTGTGGAGGCTGTCACACTGTTGGTGGTGGCAGGAGGTGGGGCATCTTTACAGAAGACCCTTCAACAGAAGAGCAGCTGAAATGCAAAGGAGAAACACAGGGAAGGGACCCAGGGGGTTAAAAACAATGAATGTGGTGGCCAAGTAGTAGGAGTAAAACAAGACAATTTCTCGAAAAGATAATTTCTCCGTTGCCTTTGTGCCTTTTCTGAAAATCAGTTTATCATGTCTGTGAGTCCATTGCTCGACACCCTGCTGATCTGTTGATTTTTTTCCCCCCGTACCACATTCTCTGGATTACTATAGAATTAATGTGACTCTTGATATTAGGTAGTGTGAGTTCCCCAAAGTTATACTTCAGAATGGTTTTGGCTGTTCTGGTTCATTTTCCTTTCTAGATAATTTTGAAAACTGACTCCAATGAAGTCAGTTGTATAAGTTGTGGCAGTTTTCCTTTGAAGGGCAGCAGATAAACATGTTAGTAGCTACAGAAGGACATGGGAGAAGAAGGTGAGCTTCCCCCTTAGCTTCGGGAATGATCCAATATCGAGGGAGCCATTGATGGTTCAGGAGAGGGGAGTGATCAATGCAGGAGCAAAGCCCTTGGGAAGGTGGGGGGTATGGATCCTGAGCTGAGGTGAGTGGCTGGCTTCAGTTAAGAGCGTTGTATGTAGAAGGGCAACAGAGAATGCTAGGGCAGACACAGGTAGACTGGGTTTGGGAACCTCTGATAATTTCCAGCAGATTGCTTCTGTCCTTTGAATGAATCACTATGTCTCAAAAATAAACAGTATTAATATAAAACTAACAGTCATACTGTTATAGGCTGAGTTGTGTCTGCTCAAAATTCATATGGCGAAGTCTGAACTCCTAGTGCCACAGAATGTAACTGTATTTGAGATAGGTGGGGTCTTTAAAGAGGTAATTAAATGAAACGGGGTCATTAGAGTTGACCGTAAGGCAATTTGCCTGGTGTCCTTATAAAAAGAGGAAATGATGACACACACGTACAGAGGGAGGACTAAGGCGGACACCAGGAGAAAACGGCTGCCTACAAGGCAAGGAGGGAGGCCTTAGAAGAAACCAATTCTGCTGACACCTTGATCTCAGACGTGTAGCCTCCAGAATTGTGAGAAAATATATGTCTGTTGTTTAAGCCACCCACGCGGTGGTAGTTTTTGATGGCAGCCTTAACAAATGAATAGAAATAACTTTTAGTGCCCTTGTGGAGGTGTTATCGTATCTATTTTATAAGCTAGCACTCCTGCTTCTTCTACTAGTGTAATAACCATGTAATTATGTCTATATCTGAGCAACTGAGCGGTGACGAGAAAACTTCAAAACCTGAATTATTTTGCCTTAAGTTCATGACCAAGAGAGAATTACTTCTCACTTTCATTCTCATCCTGTTTCCAATACTATAATACTCTCACAAAATGCCAAAACCCCTCCTCAATTTGAATGAGGCATTTTGTGAAAGTATTACAGTATTGGAAATTTCTTATCATGAAATCATTTGTTATTCAATTATATATGTTCAGCATCAGTAAAAAAATAGTACAGAAGAATAATCAAGTCTCATAAAATACACAGATATCGTGGAAATCATACTAGATTTGGAGTACAGTGAAATATGCCTGTTCAGGCAACTGCAGGAAACGTCTGCCAAATGTATCAGCCCCTTGAAGTCCTGAGGCAGATGATTAGTAGGAGAATCTGGAAGCCACTGCAAACACTCACACATTCACCATTCACACCTGCCCAAATATTCTGGCATTCACCATTCACACCTTCCCAAACATTCCCACATTTACCTTTCACACCTGCTTAAGCATTCACATGTTCACCACTCACACCTGCCCAAACATTCCATTTACCATTCACACTTCCCAAGCAGTCGCAGATTCACCATTCACACCTGCCCAAACATTCCCATGTTGACCATTCACACCTTTGACCATTTTGGGGTAAAATAAGAAAATGACTTCTACTTCCCAAATCTTTTAAGAGGTGCATATTATTAGCATCACCTGGGAAGCTGTGGCACACCACCCTCTGCAAGGGATCCTGGGACGGGTGTTTATCAAGATTCTAGCAGTAGCCATACAAGGGAGAGCAGAAGAGATGGGAGTGCCTGTTGTTCAAATGTTGTGGAAATTATATCTGTCAGGGTTTTCCGTGATCTATGTTGTGAAAGAAGCTTCCTGGACCGTAAGGTTCGTGTGGAGAGGTTTCCATGGGCCCCCTGAGAATGGTTTGGCAAGAGATGGAAAAAAAGATATCTTAAGTCATTTTCTTTCTACTGGAAACAGCCTGTGGATGTGGGTCTGGGGACAGCGGGAAAACCCTGGCCGGCCCTGCATGTGCCTGACTCTGTGTGTACCCCCTTGTTGCCCATGTGCCTTGCTGTCAGATCAGTTGTCCCAGAAGTTTAAGTGTGAGTGAGTGTGAGGAGGAGCCCATGGGCGCAGTCTATAGCCTCCTAGGGAGAAGGGTCTTGAGGTTGTTGTCCTCCTAACAGGCAGTGGTGCACCCCTTGGGGGTGCTGGATAAGGGAAGAAAGAGGGCCATAGAGGGGAGGAGGGCCTAGTGAACACGGAGTGAGTTATGAAGGGGGACACTATTTGAGGTATTTGAATCCTTAGAGCATATGGAACTAACTGCCCAAAAAGGATGGATTCCAGAATCCTTAGTGGATACCTTGGAGGAAGTGGAGGATGCAGTGAGGCAGGGTACCACAGCCTACAAGGCAGGCACCCATCTCACTGTGCATGCTCCTTGTACCTCAGTGGGCATGTTCGCTGGGCATGGTCCAGTCAGCCCCTTCGACCACGTGGTGAATGCCATGGAGCTGTGAGGGTGAGAGAGTGGCGGTCCTGTGGTCTAGAGTATCTCCTCTACTGAGACACAGTCAGTAGGTGCGAAGGCCAGTCCTCCCAGGAGGTGTAGTGTGAGAGAGTGTGAGGAGGAGCCAGCAGACTTCCTGAGCTTCAGGCAGCCTAGTCCCTGGCCTCAGCCGGGGAAGGCCTTAGACGTCATGAGTAAGGTGGACCACAGAGTGGAGGTAGCTCAGGTGAACATGGGGCAAGTACTGAAGGTAATGTTGGAGGTATCTGAGTCTCAGAAGCAGCTGGAAACCCCAATAGATGACAGATTCCAGACTCCTCGGTGGGGAATGAGGAAGGGGCAGAGTGGGGGGGAAGGAACGGGCCTGGGAAGTGGGAATGCTGTGGGCTGGTGACCCAAGCCCTGAGGTCTGTAGAGTGCCCACATAGGTGTCCAGTGAGGAGTGCCCAGTGCCATGTGGCAACTTCAACTCCCCCATGGATGTTCGAATGGGCTGGGTTATGCATTTCAGCAAAACTTGATTTTAGAGGGAAAACGGGCCTAGCTAACGAATGTGTAATGAAAGCTGTGTTCACTCCAATTTTAATTCTGTAGCTGTATTTTCCTATATGTCTCCACTATGTAAAGTCCAGTTGTGAAACTAAACCTCATCAGAAATACCCTGTGTCTTTTGTCAGGAGCCTTAAGACACTGCTACCTTGACCACCTTAAGTGGCTTTGCAAGCATTCGATTCAGAAGGCACACACCCTTAAACTTGCCCTGGGACTTACTTTCAAAGTATTTCCAAATTTTAATAAAATTACAAGTTTACATATGGCGATGGAAGTGGTCAAATACAGCAATCCTCTCAAGTGCACTTTCCCAATCACAGTGTTCTGTTAGCAGAATGAAATATGAATTGGCAAGGAAGATCAACATATAAGCCTAGACCAAGAGGAAGTTTACAGTTTCCTGAACTGATTGGGCTTATGCTCATTAGTGCCTCAACATTCCATGTTTTCTGTTAGCAGAAATTTCTATTTGTGATAGTCTTGTTGAACTAGTGTACATATACTGATAAAGGTCTCCCATGCTGAAAAATGATCATGGCATCTCATGAAGGAAAGGCAAGTCCAAGAGGATTACATTCTGGTTTTGTGTGGATGGATGATCTTGTGCTCCTCAGATTTCACCCTTGATTTCCTCCCCATGTTTATTCATAAGAGATTACACACATTCCTCGCAACATAAATTAAAACAGCTTCCAAAGCCCTTGAAGGTAACTGTCTTAGAGTATGACCTCTCTGTGGGAAGAGTAGTTTTATGAAGAATAAGGATATGGAATAATGTTGGAGAAATGTCTTCAGACTTATAATGAAAAATATGTATTCTGTATGTTTATATTATTGACATATATTGATAACAGAACGTTTTAATCTGCATAAACACACACACCCCTTGTCCCAGCAGCCCAGTGATGAAGAGCCTCAGGAAGAGAAACCACCCACTGAAAGTCAAGATTCTACACATGGTCAGGAGAGAGAAGAAGATCAGGATGCTGCTGAGATTCAGAGTGCTGCTGAGATTCAAGGTGCTGTGAAGGGAAAGAAAGAATGTCTATGGTCGGGGGGGGGGGGTGTGGAGGGGGCCTATATGTGCATCATGCATTATGCCATAAACAGTAACAGAAGAAAGAAAACATTAGAAAAGGTTCTCAAACACTTGCTGAAAGTTGGCCAGAAAAGTGAAGAGTATAGTTTGCAGCTTCATGAAGTCCCTGGATACAATGAATCTTCTGGGTTTTTTTTTTGAGGTTTATTTTGCATGCTTGAAAATACAGTCCTTGCTAAATCATATGAAACCATTTAATTTTATATATAAAAATGTACATTATTTCACTAGTTTAATTTGATGTTTTTAGAATGTTGTTGTATGATTGTCTCAGCCATGGTGTCCACAGTGTTGTGTGCATCCTTTAATAGCATATAGAGTGCCAAGTAACCCTACCTTGTAACACCCTGAATAAAGCCCATTTGCATAGGGATGTTAGCCCCACTTTATAAATAAGAAAACTGAGGCTTAGAGATTAAGGCTTACCAAGAACACTTGACTCATGGACAAAGAATTCAAATTACATTTCCAAGTTTGTATTTGTCCTACTGTCAATGTTATTAGAAAATATGACTTCTTTTGCTTAAAATGCTTAATACTCAAATGTGCTTGTACTGTAAGGTATTTCAGTATGGACTCAGGAAAAGGCACAGTTCAGTGAAACAGGATAGCAGCTCCAGAAACGAGCTCAATCAAAGAAATACTGATCAAAGGAAACAGCCAATGTTCCCTTCTATCAATATTTTTGACGGTATGTTTTGGAAAAGCTGGATAATTCAGGATACTGGCATACAGGTATATTACTATATTGGCTATATTAGTATGGTTTTTAAGGGACTTCTAAAAGTTGCTTCAGTACTTTTACAATTAGACAGTTTAAAGTATAATAAGATTGTCATGAAACAGAAATTATTTCCTCAAATGATAGCATTTTCAAGCTAAATGCTGACCGAATTTGGGCCATGGATTATTTTAGCAATTCTCTCTTAAGAAGTTTCCAGAATATGACTGTCAACAATGCCCATTAATTTCTTTGCACTCAGGTTCCCATACTCTCACTGAAGATTTTGCTGTTATATTTGGTACTTTTTTCTTAATGGGATTCTTTTATAGAAAGTTATATATAGGCCTTTGGACCTGAGCATAACTTTCATTTATTTTTACCCCCAAATTTTCAAGTTACTTGAACAGGGGATGGATGTCAGGACTATAAGATTTGTCATAAATCTGCCACTACATTGATCTAATCCTTCAGAAAGTTACATTTAATTTATGATTAAAATGCTATCCATGCAGCAGGCTTCAGATTTCCTAGATACCTGATACTGTTTACAATACACAATGGTAAAGCATAGGAAATTGAGGTGTAGTGTGATTTACCCTCAGATTGTCATTTAAAATAAGATTTCATAATAGAGGAAAACAAAGGCAGGACATCTTTGCACCACATTTATTACCACAGTAGCCTACAGGATTTTATTTCCTAACACTGAGGAAAAACAATGTGATAATTTCCTTGTTTATCATTCTTGTTTGCCTGCTTCAATTGATACCCTTCGTATTTTTTAGTGCCTGACCTGGAAGCTGATCTCAAGGATCTGTCTCAGTCAAAGACGGGGGATGAATGGGGAGATGGTACTGATGTCCAGGGGAAAATCCTGCAAAAATCATATCAATTTAAAATGCCAGAAAGTGATATGCTATCCATTAAGATGCAAAATTATGTGCTTTCTGTTTTCCATAATATTATAATTTTGATAATACAAAGAGAGAACATTACTACCCCTTTAAAAACAGAAAGCAGAGTTCAAATGCAGACTTACTTTGAAAAGTAGTTCAGACCCCAGATGCCTGACTGCAAGACTTAAACACTACCAGATGGAGACACAAATTGGGTCCAAGCTATATTGAATCATCAAATATTAAAGCATTTTCTTCTGAGTATAACCAAGAAGCCGCATCATAAGTGGGTGCCATCTGTATTCTTTTTGTTGGACTTTGGTATCAAGGTTACACTAGCCTCATGAAATGAATTGGTATATAAAACCTCTTTCTATGAAATCCCTGCAAGAGTGAATCACTTGGAGATAGGATTTCCCATGTGTGTTTGTTTCCAGACTGCATGCTTTTTTTTTTTTTTTTTTTTTTTTTTTTTTAGCTTTGGACACTACTTAAAAGAAAGACAGAAGGGGCAGCTGCAGGCTTCCGTGCCTTTAAACTTTGTAAGGCGCCTCTCTTCCCTACAAAGATGCCTCTAATTATGCCGTCACTCTGAAAACTACCTGCTCCTGTTTCTGTACTGACATTAACCTCTGTACACAGCAAGTTAAAAGTTGCCAATTTGCTTACATAAGTTTTTCAGAGATACATTCTTGCTAAGTTGCCCAGGCTGATCTTGAACTCTTGGACTCAAGTGATTCTCCCTCCTCATCCTCCAAAAGTGCTGGGATTACAGGTGACAGCCACCATGCCTGGCCTGCCTACCTGATTTTGATCTGTGGTGTGTGTTTTTGAATGGATTGACTACACCAAAGCTGTGAATAGTTAGGACGATAGCTGCATTTATTGAGTTCTTTAAGAATAACAGAAATAATAACTCATATTTATAGATTGTCTTGTATCTGTTAACCAGTTATCTGAGCTGTGTTTCATTATTTCTGACCTCATTATTAAATCCACTAAAAAGGTGAGTCAGAGTTTTCATAAAATTTACAATAAATGACTCTAGTAAGAAACAGATACGGGGATTCAAGGTCTAAGTTCACAGTCTTTGTGTTTCCTGAAAGTAAATGCTTGTGAAAGTGTTGAATGCAGAACTGGTGTTGTGTATGTTGATTTTAGTGGTAATCTGATGTTTTTATGTAAATCCATGGTGATATATAAAATACATATATTTTATTGTTTAACATAAAAGTGTTTGCTGTTCTCTTGAAGTGTTTGCCAAAATATGGCACATAAACCTAATACGGGTTCCCAGATGAAATCATTGTTATGAAAGCATTTTAAAAAGTAATAATGACATACCTGTTTTACTGTGCAACAGAAAAAATGTAACAAGAATACTAAATTCGTTTGGAATAGTTTGTGAGAACACAGAGAAAAGAACTGATGTCTCAGTTCCCATGGAAAAATACCACAACATTTCCTGCAAACACGTCCTTTCTTTAAATGATACAAGGCAGAGAGGGAGAAACACCAAACCTTTCTTTTTCATCTGAGCCTGATAGTTACCACATCTCAATCAGAAACCCCTGCGGCTGCCTCAATCCAGCCTGATACCCCTCTTCTTATACATAATACACGAATAACAACCCTGAGCTCCATTTATAACCTCGCACCCAAAAGGATAATTCTCCAACAACGGGCCCTACTCAGAATCCACACTGCTTAGGGAGGGGTAGGAGAATATACACAGCAATTATTTCTCCCTATTACAAAGATTTTAAAATATTTTCGGATCCAACAGGACTGAAAAGCTAGGGTTCAAATAAAAAGTGAGACTAAATGTAGGGGATCCCATTTGCCACGGAATATGTGAGAAGTCCGTAGGCTATAGAGTCAGATGAAGAATTAGGCCCTAGGTAGAAGAAAGGGGAAAGCAACCACCACAACTTGTTAAAGCAAAATTACTTGGGTCCTAGCTACGCTGTCTCCTTACGGCACAAAATAACCATGGGTTTCCATCATGGCTCTGACATATAGGCCTTGAGATGGTAGACAAGGTGCTTATATCCTGTGAGGTTGTTTCCCGTTTCTAAAGTAGAAATTAGAATATTTACAGTAAATGATTGCTATGGAGAATTCATGAGATAACATATATGAACTCAACATTGTATTATAGATAAATTTGGGTTACTAGTTATAGTTCTTTTTTTTCCTTAAAATTTCAATTTTGTATACATGTGCCATGTTGGTGTGCTGCACCCATTAACTCGTCATTTACATTAGGTATATGTATACATATGTAACAAACCTGTACGCTGTGCACATGTACCCTAGAACTTAAAGTATAATTTAAAAAATTCAATTTTGTTCATTCCATTTGCCTTTACAATTACATCTCTGGTAAGTGATAACTCCTTTTGAATTTTAAGTAGGGATATCAAGTTACATTTTTAAATGAGTTTGAGATCAGAAACTGATTTCTTTAAAATAAATATACTGGTAAAATAGCAGTGTATCTGGTGTCAGACATGGCATCAGTTCTAAAGATGGTTCATAAGTAACCACAGTCTGACAAGGCCAACCCTAAGTTAGCAATATGTGCCTAACACTGTGTGTTTTGCTATGTGTGATGCCATGATTAATAAGTTAATATTCTGGTCAGCCAACACCACACAACTCAGTACCATAGTGTGTCAAGTGCTCAAGCAGTCCCTAAGCAGCCCTGTGGGGGCTAACAGGGCCACAGGGATGACCACTGCAATTGTTAGTTTGACTTGTCACATATCCATAGATTTGGCCTGTAAAAACAATGAGCCTAAATGGATCCAAGTGGTTGATTGCTTGCAGACACAGCAAAAGCAAGATCGGCATTGTGACAGCAACGTGTGGCTAGTCCTACAGGATAACTCTGAATCGGAGGTACTCGATGACAGCAAAAATGGTGGGTCTTTCTGCCTGTGAGGAGGCCACACACTTACCCTGATGTATTGAGCAGTTTTATACCCCACAGCTGTACCCTAAGATGTGGAAAGGCCTGTGCTTAAGTGATGCTAGGGAGATGGATGAAGAATGGCCTTGTGTCAGCCTCCAACAAGATAGGGAGCTGGTGAGAAAATATCTGTGGCAGCTCCCACCATGCTGCTTATCTCCTCTTGCTCCAAAGAGATTCAAGGTATTGTACTAAGACTCAGGTTAACCAGCAGTCTAGCTTTGCCTACGTGGCCTATGTGGTTACCTGCAAGACCTCCAGGGCACCATGGCAGAGCCATTACCCTAGAGCATTTGGGACAAAACCAAAGACCATATGTTTGGTGTCTAGAAACATATCATCTCCAATAATGACTCCCAAACAGAGGAGATGCTTTTCTATTAGGGTCATTACAAAAGATTGATTAATTCAGTAGACATGCATTGATGTCTGCCATGTTACAGGAAATACCTGGGATGCTGGAAATGAGAAGACCAACCAACAACATGTGGTACTTGCTGTGAGGGCTGTCACACTGTGGTGGGGCAGACAGACCCTTAAACAGAAGAGCAGTTGAAGTGCAAAGGAGAAATATAGGAAAGGGGCCTAGGGGAATAAAAAAAATATAGTGGCCAAGAGGCAGGAGGAAAACAACATAATTTCTTGAAAAGATAATCCTTCTCCACTGGCTTTTCCCCTTTTCTGAAAAATCAATTTATCATGTCAGTGAGATTATTGCTGGATTCCATTCTGATCTGTTGATATTTTTTCCCCAATACCATATTCTCCATTACTATATAATTAATATTGACTCTTGATATTAGGTAGTGTGAGCTCCCCAAATTTATAGTTCAGAATTGTTCTGGCTGTTCTGGTTCATTTTCCTTTCCATATAATTCTGCAAATTGACTACAATGAATTTGGTTGTATAAGTTCATGCAATTTTGTTTTGAAGTGCAGCAGATAAATACGTTAGTGGCTATAGAAGTATATGGGGGAAGAAAGTGAGTTCCCCCTTAGCTTCGGGAATGATCCAATATAGAAGGAGCCATTGATGGTTCGGGAGCGGGAGTGATCATTGCAGAAGCAAAGCCCCTGAGAAGGTGGGAGTCATGGGATCCTGAACTGAGGTGAGGGACTGGCTTCAGTTAGGAGCATTGTATGCAGAGAAGGGCATCAGAGAATGCCAGGGCAGGTATGGATAGACTGGGTTTGGGAAGCTCTGAGAGTTCCCAGCTTATTTCTTCTATCTTCTAAACGAATCATTAAGGGAGATCATTCAAATGGAGGAGGGTCCCTAGCATTGTGTGAGAGTATTGTAGTAGTGGAAATAGGATGAGAGAGAAAGTGAGAATCAATTCTCTTGCACTGGTCATGGACTTAAGCTACCATACTTCAGGTTTTGAAGTTTTCTCAGTACCACTCAGTTTCTCAGATACAGGCATCATTGTGCGGTCATTATATTAGTAAGAGGAGCAGGAGTACTAGCACATAAAATGGATATGATAATCCTCGCCTCCTCAAGAGCAATAGAAGTACTTCTATTCATTTGTTAAGGCTGCCATCAAAAACTACCACCGACTGGGTGGCTTAAACAACAGACATGTATTTTCTCACAATTCTGGAGGCTACATGTCTGAGATCAAGGTGTTAGCAGATTTGGTTTCTTCTAAGGCCTCCCGCTTTGACTTGTAGTCAGCTATTTTCTCCCTGTGTCAGCTTTAGTCCTCCCTCTGTATATGTGTGTGTCCTCATTTCCTCTTCCTATAAGGGCACCAGGCAAATTGCCTTAGGGCCCACTCTAATGACCCCATTTCACTTAATTACCTCTTTAAAGACCCCACCTATTTCAAATACAGTTAGAGTCTGAGACAGTAGGGGTTAAGCCTTTACCATATGAATTTTGAACGGACACAACTCAGCCCATAAGTGTATTACTGTTAGTTTTATATTAATACTGCTTATTTTTGAGACAAGATCTCACTGTGCCACCCAGGCTGGAGTGCAGTGACGTTAACATGGCTCACTGTAGCCTGGAACTCCTGGGCATGAACGATTGTGCCATGTCATACTCCCTAGTAGCTGACAGTACAGGTGTGTGACACCACACTGGGCTAATATGTTTGTTTGTTTGTTTGTTTGTTTGTTTGTTTGTTTGTTTATTTTGCAGAGACAGGAGGGTCGCACCATGTTCCCATCTGG